TTTGCTTCCAATACATTACCCTCTTTGGATTTTTGTCCTAATTCCCTGGCTCCACTTTGTTGTCTCCTATGCTACTTTGTCTTTATTTCTCTGACCTCTAAATGCTGGAGCTCTCCCCACAGGTCAGTCCTTAGATCTCTTCTCTTCCAGTCCATTGGCTTTAACTATAATGAATATTCTAACAACTCATGAAAGTGTATCTCTAGTCATACTTCTCCCCTGGATTCTAGATCCATTTATCTAACTGTCTAGAATATTCCTGTGCTCGGAAATCTAGGCTCTCGAAACAGCTCATCCCGAAGCTCTTCCATCTCAACAGATGGACACTGCATCTTTCAAGTTGATTAGGCCAAAAATATTCTCTTCCTCTAATGAACCACACCAAACCTATCAGCCAAGTCTTTACAGTTTTACCTTGAAAATATTTCAAGAAATTTGCCACTTTTCAATACGTCAAACACTATCACCCAGATTCAAATGACTATTACCTCAAGCTTCTTGATTTGTATCTCTGGTTCCACACTTCCTCCTCTACTCTCTATTATTAGATTCTATAAGACAATTGCTTTAAAACATAAGTCAGATTGTGTCAATTCTTTGCTTAAAGTTTTCCATTTTCTACAAAACTTAAATTCCTTCCCAGACTCATCTTCAAGGTACTACTTAATCCGGCCCTCAATCTCTTTCTAAACTTCATCCCTTACTACTGTCTTCTTTCTTTACTTTACTTTGGCCATAGTGTCCTACTCCTTACCGTTCCCTCATATGTCAGGCATGCTCTCATTGCAGGGTCTTTGTTGTTGTTGTTAAGATTTTATTTATTTGCTTGAGAGAGAGATAGAAAGAGAGAGAGAGACCACAGAGGAAGAGGGAGAAGCAGATTCCCTGCTGGGCAGAGAGCCTGATGCAGGGCTCAATCCAGGACTCTGGGATCACGACCTAAGCTGAAGGCAGACACTTAACCAACTGAGTCAGCAAGGTGCCCCGACCACTGCAGGGTCTTTGAAGTTTCTGTTCTCTATATTTAAATGTTCTTTATCCAGATTCCTCCATGACTCATTCCCTCACCTCCTTTGCTCAAATGTCATCTTCTAGTTCCACTTTTAGTAGTGGCAAACTACCTTATTTCAGACTATCGTAAAAGATAATAAACTCTAGATTACATATATTTTACACACACACACACACAAAATGTGAAGGCATTGGGGAACAACTAAAAACAGGAAAAAATTGAAGGGGAGTTGACCTTTGGAAAAAAAGTATACTGTGAGACATTAATATTTATACAGATTATCACATAATGGTATTTCCCAGCCTCTGTGGCATAGGGTAGCTAAATGCAAGCAGAAAGCCACAGTCTTATTGGCCTGAGAAGTTGGAGGATGAAGTTTGAGGCTGCTAAAGTAGTTTAAAAATTAAGAGTTAAATCCCAGAAAGGAGGGAGGTACATAGATTCAACATCTACATAAAAATTTGGCCCAAATCTTTGACTGATGCCTGAACCTCACAAATTTATGTAAACTCCAGTCTATAGAAATCAACAGCAAAAATGCAGATAACTGAAAGAAGAGCAGATATTTCAGCTATTACTTTTCTGAGGGGAGAGAGACGGGATTTTAAGTCCAGCCAAGGTAACTGTTTTTAGGACAAAAGTCAATATTCTCGAGCAAATTATAACAAAGTTGAGAATCTCTACAACATATCATTCACAATGTTCAGTATACAATCAAAATTACTACATAAGCAAAAATATAGGAAAGGTGAGAATCAAGAGAAAACGTTATCAATAGAGAATGACTCAAATGTTTCAGATGTTGGCATTACAAAATAGGGTATTTTTAAACTTGTGTATGTGCATGTGTGTTAAAATATAAATAACATAAAACAACATTTTAACAATTTTTATGTTACACTGTATCACACAAGTGGCATTAAATGCATTCATAATGTTATATAATCATCATCACTATTTTCTCATCTGCAACAGAACCAATGTACCCACTAAACAATAACTCTCCATTTCTTCCTCCCCACCCCAGTAATCTCTATTTATTCTACTTTCTCTATGAATTTGCCTATTTTAGTTACCTCATATAAGTGGAATCATACAATTTTTGTTCATAAAAGAACATAAACATCTGGCTTAATTCACTTAGCATAACGATTCCAAGGTTTAAGTTTACATTGTAGTATGGGTCAGAATTTCATTCTTTTGTAAGGCTGAATAATATTCCATTGTATGTCTATCTCACATTTTGTTTATCCACTCATCCATTGATGGACAGTTGGATTGTTTCCATTTTTTCGCTATTCTGAATATGTTGCTATGAACACTGGTGTACAAGGATCACTTTGAGCCCCTGCTTTCAATTCTTCTGGATTCTACTTAGGTACAGAAATGCAGAATCATATGGTAATCTTAAGTTTAACTTTTTGAGGAACTGCCAAACTGTTTTCCTCAGGAGCTGCACAATTTTACATTCCTACCAACAATGCACAAGGTTTCCAATTTCTGCACATCCTCATCAAACACAGGTTTTGTTATGCAGATAACATATGAACTTTGAAAACTAATTTTTAAAAAAACAAGTCTACAAAAATTAGGTGTGCTGGAAAAATTGGACTTAGCATAAAACCTACTAAAGAAGAGACTATGAAATGACAATACTCATTTAGATACTTAAGTTTTGATAAATTGTTGTTTTCATGAAAATCAGTCCCTGCAATTTATAACTGTAATAAATCACTGTCAAGCTTTTTAAAAAAAGCTAATAAAAGTCAAAATTGATACAGTCATGCTTATATATCACAACTGTAGTTTGAGATTTTGTTTTGTGAAATCACCTTCAAACAAATTTAGTTAACATTTAAACATTCATTGCTAAAGTTCCCTTTTGATCAATAGCCCCAATTCTAATCTCCTTTTTATAAAGGCACTAATGGTTTTCTGTATATCAAGTAATATTGCAGAGATGCTGTAATAAAATATTACCTTAAGTAAGGGTTTGTTCATAAATCATTATAGAGAATGAGATCCTTTTAGAGGAACTCTGTTATTACTGCTCAGAGTCTGAGACCACTACCACTTCCAACCAAAATGAGATAGGGGATATAAATTAAGGGTTGTAAAAGGAAAAATATGATCTATAGGTGTAAAGTGAAGCTTTGTTACAAAACTGCTTATGGCCATCTCAAGAAAATAAAAGGCTTTCTCATTTCAAAATGCTGTAATGATTAACAATGATATTATATGGAAACAGGGCAAGAAAACTAATGTCACATAGTCAGTTTCTCAAGAAAATCTTATTCTCTCCACAGTGACTCTAATACATTACTAATTAGTTAGCTATGAATCCAACAAATCTATTGCCAAATAATGTGAGACACACTGAGAGTAGGGATCATTAGTAGACCATGATGCCCTAAAATGGTAAATAAAATCATACTTGATGTATCACACTGCCATCTGATTTTCAAATTCTTGATAATTACATATTTACTTAAATCTAAGACATAATTGGTTGAAAGATGAATATGTATTTTAGAAATGTTAAAATGTAAAAAGCATCATAAAGATTGATAAAGTATGGTAATTTCATATTACATACAGTAAACAGGACTCTTACTTCTAATTACTAATTTTCTGGAAATATATTTGATAAAATAGTTCAGCATCTGATAGGGCATATGGATCCATCATAATATTCTTTCTATGGGCACAGGCTTCCCCTAGCCCATAAATTCCAAGAAATAACTACAAAAAACACCATTAAGACAAGACATCCATATTGCCACTGTGTATCATTAAGATTTTATATGCTATCAATCTTCCTTTTTAAGGCATAAAAATTACAAATAAAGCTAAAGCCCCCTTTGATCAACACTCTCAAATCTAATCTCTTGCCAGAGACAATACTAACAATAATTTGGTATGTACCCTTCTAGTCCATTTTAAATACATACATATTTCAATAATAAAAAAACATAGTACTATTCTTCATGATTTAATTTCAATTTACACGAATGTTATTCATTATACAATGTTTCATCCGGGGATCTTGATTTTTTTTCACTCTACACTGTTTTACATAACTATCCATGTTACAAAATACAGATCTACTTTATTACTTTTAACTGCTGTATACTACTCCATTATTTGACTGTATCACACTTTATTTACTCATTATCCCATCAATAATTAGCTTGTTTTCAATTCATATATATATTTCTTATGGGTATTTGTGAGTTTCTTTAGAATGAATATACAGAAATGGAACTACAGGGTCCTTTTGTCTTTTAAAAAATGCTTCTCTGCCTCAAAGTCATAGACAACATCCTATATTTCCTTCCAAGAACTTCAGTTTGGCTTTTCACATTCCAGGTCAAATCCTTTGGAATTCTGTTTCTTTATATGTTGTAAGGTTGCATGTAGTTATTTTTTCCCTAATATGGAGAACCAAATACTCCAACAAATTTTATTGGCTGTCACTTCTCCACTGATTCATGATATCATGTCTAATATACACCAAATTCACATATATTCACTGATTTATTTCTAGGCATTCTATTCTGTAAATTCTGTTTATTTACCTATTCATGCTCCAATACCACATACTATTTAATGACCATAACTTTTGTGTAGTATATGGTAGAAGATGTGTCCTCTCTCTTCTTTTTCAAAATTGTCTCGGCAATCCAGGGATTTCCATTTCACATGAATTTTAGAATCATTTTGTAAAGATCCTAGAAAATTCGTGTTAGATGTTTGGAACTATGTTAGGTCTATAGATTAATTCTGGGAGAATTGACATTTTTATGATATTGGGTTTTTCCATCTGCATTTATGGTATTTCTCTCGATTTATTCAAGTCTTATGCCCTTCAGTGAAGCTTTACAGTTTTTCCATAAAGATATTGTTCATTTTTTTTAAGTTTACACCAATACGTTTCAAAAGTAAAGCATGGGTTGAATTTAAGAAAAGGCCTTCCCTCATTTAGTACACTCGACGTTTCTCACCTGTATGCCCTCTCTTATGTATAGAAAGGGATGCTCTTTGAGAGAATGCTTTCCCACATTCATTACATTCAAAAGGTTTCTCACCAGTATGACTTCTCATATGTATAATAAGTAATGAGCATTGAGAGAAGGCTTTTCCACACTTATTACATTCATATGGTTTCTCCCCTGTATGACTTCTCACATGAAGAGTAAGGGATGAGATTCGAGAGAAGGCTTTACCACATTCATTACATTTAAATGGTTTTTCTCCAGTATGAATTTTTTCATGCTCAAGGAGATTTTGTCTCTGACTGAAAGCTTTTCCACATTGATTACAATGATAGGGTTTCTCTCCAGTATGAATTTTCTCATGTTCAGTGAGATTTGATTTCTGACTAAAGGCTTTCCCACATACTGTACATGCATAAGGTTTCTCACCAGTATGAATTCTCTGGTGTCTAATGAGGTTTGACATCTGAATAAAAGCTTTCCCACATTCATTACATTCATATGGTTTCTCTCCAGTATGAATTTTCTGATGTGTAATGAGATTTTCTTTCCTGCTGAAGGCTTTTCCACACTCATTACATTCATAAGGTTTCTCGGCTGTATGATTTCTCATATGTACAGTAAGGGATGAACTTTGAGAAAACGCTTTCCCACATTCACTACACACATAAGGCTTCTCACCTGTATGACTTCTCATATGTATAATAAACACTGAGCATTGAGAGAAGGCTTTTCCACATTTATTACATTTATAGGGTTTCTCCCCTGTGTGACTTCTCATGTGTAGAGTAACAGATGACATTCGAGAAAAGGCTCTACCACATTCATTACATGCATAAGGTTTCTCCCCAGTATGAATTTTCTCATGCTCAATAAGGTTTTGCTTCTGGCTGAAGGATTTTCCACATTCTTTACATTCATAGGGTTTTTCTCCAGTATGAATTCTCTCATGTTCAATGAGATTTGATTTCTGACTGAAGGCTTTCCAACAATCCTTACATGCATAAGGTTTCTCCCCCGTATGAATTCTCTGGTGTCTAATAAGGTTTGACATCTGAATGAAAGCTTTTCCACATTCATTACACTTATATGGTTTTTCCCCAGTATGAATTTTTTGATGTGTGATAAGATTTTCCTTCCTGCTGAAAGCTTTTCCACATTCCTTACATTCATAGGGTTTCTCTCCAGCATGAATTCTCTCATGTCTGATGAGGTCAAATTTATGACTGAAGTCTTGTCCACACTGATTACACTTAAAAGGGGTTAGAACATGGGATGAGCAATGGTAAAAAGGCTTCCCGTACTTATTATACTCATAGTTTTTCTCTCTTACACAGTTCTTCTCATAACTAAGTAAATCTAAATTATGTTCCAAACCCTTATCAAGTGAGTCATATTCAAAGAAATTTTGTCTTGAAGTAAGAATATCTGAGCTCAAAGGAAATATTTTTGTAACTCTTTTACATTCAATGACATTTTCCTTAATCAGAGTTTTCTTGGAGATGGATGTGACTTTCCTCACAAGTGTTTCCTGTTGCTTCTTGATCTGTTCATCAACTTCCCAAACTTCTAAAATGGAGGACCAAAAATTATTACTTTTGAATTTTTCTGCTACTACACTATTAATAACATTTCAGAAATTTGCTCCTATGGAGTTGATTTTTTATGTTGACTCTAGTCTCCCAATATGAAAAAAATCCAAAGTGCAAATTACCCTAGTTTCTAAGTTTTAAGAGGTTAACTCCTATAAAATATTATGGAGAGAAAACTGACATTGATAGGCCTAAGTAGGTTTGACTGCTTTTAAAAGTACGCTTATATGGGCGCCTGGGTGGCTCAGATGGTTAAGCATCTGCCTTCGGCTCAGGTCATGATCCTAGAGTCCTGGGATCGAGTCCCGCATCGGGCTCCTTGCTCCTTGGGAGCCTGCTTCTCCCTCTGCCTCTCTCTCTCTCTCTCTGTCTCTCATGAATAAATAAATAAAATCTTTAAAAAAAAAAAGTATGCTTATACAATGCAGAAATCAGTGACATGAACAGATTAAGACGAAAGGCTGACGATACAAATGACTGGATAGGGAGTCAAAATGACCAGAGGATAAAATTAACATTTGTGGTTAAACACAGTGGATTGAATGTATATGTTTATTTCTCCTCCTCCCTAAAATTCCATTAAAATGACAGTAAAAAAATAAAAGGTCAAATCCACAAGAACAAAGGAAATAAAAGTGTAAAGAAGGGTAAACAAGAGATTTCAACAAAAGAACGGAGATGAAAGGCATATAGGGAACTGTTAACTAATGGCAGAGCTAAGAAGTTAAAGTACTACAAATATACAAATGTCAAGCAATAAAGCGATTTAGCCACAAAACACTGGAAAAGCTAACAAATTGGAGAATTCAGGTACTCAAAAGGTAGAGAGATGTCTGAAGAGGATTAATTTAAAGTCTGAATAGGGAACACTTACACTCCCTGAGGCAAGTATTACGGATTTGCTTAAGTAACATCTTTCCAAACTCATCCTATGTTTTTCCACCCTGCAAAGAGTGAGTTATAACTGTATTTCCTGGACACACTTGCATGTAGGGTTCTGGATGTGATTTAGATTAATCATACATTTTAATTCAGAAATGAATTAAAATTAGAAAGAAAACAGGCATTTTACCTAAAGACTACAACAGAAGTGGTAAGGTTCTGAAGCTCGTGGTTATAGAGGCATTTCCCTGGTTCAATCAGAAACCATTTCTTTTTTTTTTTTAAAGATTTTATTTATGTATTTGAGAGAAAGAGCACAAGCAGGGGGTGGGGGCCGGTAGAGAGAGAAGCAGACTCCCTGCTGAGCAGGGAGCCTGATGTAGGGCTCGATTCCAGGACCCTGAGACCATGACCTGAACCTAAGGCAGATGCATAACTGACTGAGCCTCCCAGGTGCCCCTCATTTTTTTTTTTTTTAAAGTAAGCTCTACTCCCAACGTGGGGCTTGAACTCACAACCCCGAGATCAAAAGTTGCATGCTCCACCAACTGAGCCAGCCAGGTGCCCCATTAGAAGCAATTTCTTGATCACAGTGGGAAAAGGAACTCACTTAGCAGCTCACTTCTCTGATATGACGTTGAGACTCATTCCTAAAAGCTTATCCTATAGTTGGTCCTTCAGTCCTCCCAAAGGTTCTCTAGGACATTTAATACCTTCATATAAATTCCTTCCTTTTTAAATTAGTTGCTAATAAGCTCTTTTCTCTGTAACTGCATCTTTGCCAATACCTCCCCACCCCCCACATAACACAGGAAGTGGCCATGTATCCACAACGTGAGCAGGAAAAAGAAAGCTTACTCTCTAGAGAAAATGAACTATATAGGCTCTAGACTTAGGAACAAATTAAGCTTATGTAAAGGAAGTCTCATACTAAAAACCTAGGAATTATGTAAACTTGTTGATATTGAATGGTAAGATTTCCAATCCCTTTCTGTTGCTTGCCCCTCATGAATGCTGGCATTTACCTCCAGGTAGGAGATGAGAAGATTAAAAACAAAAGACCCACAGAACTAGAATTCTAGAACTGGTATTTGCAACTTAACAAAAAACTCCTAGGTTCTATTAAAAAAGCATCAAAAATTTGTTAGATTTTTAGAATTTCTTTTTTATCCTTTCATGCATCAAAATAAGGAAAACTAGTAACACTGATGAATTACCTATTTAAACAAAGATTTGAAAGTCTCATTACAATTAAAAATATATAGAAAACAAAGCAAACAGAAAAATTAGGCAAGTAGTAACTCTAGGAATGACAAAAATCTATGTAAGGATATATAATTAATAGTCATTTCTTGGCTCAGTATAACAGTATATCACCTAAAAGAACAAAGTAAGCAGTGAAAACCAATTCAGCCAAAACCTGTGATATAGCTATATCCAGAGAAAAAGGAAAGGGGAAGTGGTGGTGGTGGTGTAAGAGTACTAAACCTCATCTTTCATTAATATCAAGTTGATAATAATTAGAAATTACCAAATAACAGCATATTCAGAGGAGACTAGCTTCCATCCTATCCCTGAAATACTGATTCTTCCTCCACTGCCTGACAGGTAAGCATTTTCATTAATTTTGGGGTTATTCTTATATTCTTTTAAAATACGTATATTAAATATGTACATATACATATGCCATATATATATATACATACACATATGCCTCTCCCACTCTTTATAAAAAAGGTGGCATATTCTAAATGCTGCTCTGCACATTGATTTTTTCCATTTATGTATCCTGAATGGAAGCATGACATCTCTGACTTGTTTTATAGTCTTGACATTGGAATCATGTAAATGTTTTACATAACAACAAAAAAAGTTAAATCAAAAGAGGAGAAAAAAAGCCAAAATAACTCTTAAAAATTGAAAACAAATGGAAAAGAATAAATCTATATATGAAGTTAGGGCCATAATCACTTCAAGTGACTTTAAACACAGTAGTTTGACTATACCCTAAGGGAGAAAAAAATACAACCAAAGAAATCTTAAACTACATTCAGTAGTCTTTTTCTTTTCTTCTTCTTTTTTTTTTTTTGTTCTTTTTAAGATTTATTTAGTTTAGAGAGAGAGAGAGCGCTCACTCACGTGCACAGGGGAGGGGCAGTGGGAGAGGGAGAGAGAATCTCAAGCAGACTACGCTGAGTGCGGAGCCCACATAGGGTTCCATCTCACAACCCTGTGATCACCACCTGAGTTGAAACCAAGAGTGGGCTGCTTAACTGACTGTGCCACTCAGGCGACCCAGTAGTCTTTTTCATTATTAGTAATATTGGTACTGTTGTTTAGAACTTATATATATATATATATATATACACAGAGAGAGAGAGAGAGAGAGAGGGAGGGAGGGAGATATCAGTTTGGGTTCTCAAGGGACATTTGGCAATGTCTGAAAGATCTGGAGATGTTTTTGGCTGTCACAACTTGGGGAAGTGGGGAGAAAGGGGATTGGTACTCCCAGCACCTAACAGATAGAGGCCACAGAGGCTGCTAAACATTCTACACGCTACATAAACATCCTACAATGCACAGGATAGTCCCCTACAGCAAAGAATTATCTGGCCCAAAATGTCAGCAATGCCAAGGTTGAGAAATATATATGGATTAAGCAAATAAGTATTTTAATGCAAAAAGGAGCTGAGATTTTCAGTATAAAAGATACAAAAACAAAACCAAAAAGTAAGAAAAACCCTACACTTTTTAATTTGAATTGGATGTATCAGTATAAATATGTACATTTTTTTCTTTCTAAAAAGTGTATTTTTCTAGCTTTGTCCACTTACAAGCTCTATAAGCAATGACAACCTAGTACTAATGAGCAACTATTGTGCCCAGATTGTGGTCTCCAAATCATTTCCCACTAAAGGAAGCAGGGGTTTTAGAAAAGTAGCTATATTATGTCTGGAGCAGGAAATTTATAAAATTAGCCAAAGAATCCTCTGGCTAGTGATATGACAATCTGAGCATTAAATTTGCTAATAATATGGGCTTATTAATAAATAACATATAAAATATATTTAAAACATAATTTATAGGGCACCTGGGTGGCTCAGTTGTTAAGTGTCTGCCTTCGGCTCAGGTCATGATCCCAGGGTCCTGGGATCGGGCCCCGCATTGGGCTCCCTGCTCTGCAGGAAGCCTGCTTCTCCTTCTCCCACTCCCCCTGCTTGTGTTCCTTCTCTCACTGTGTCTCTGTCAAATAAATAAATAAAATCTTTAAAAAAAATAAATGAAACATAATTTATGTTTTGTAAATATATAAACATTTTTAAATGTTTTCCATATATATCATTTATATGCACTAAATAATATGTTATTTATTTTGATGCTCATTATATAAATTTATAATGATTTAACTTGGCAAACTAGAGAATGCTAGGACACCAATCATTATTCTCAAAGTTTTTGAAGGGGGCGCCTAGGTGGCTCTGTCAGTTAAGCATCTGACTCTTGGTCTCAGCTCAGGTCTTGATCTTAGGGTTCTGAGTTCAAGCCTCATATTGGGGTCCATGCTGAGCATGGAGACTACTTAAAAGAAAAAGTTTTTGAAGGAAAGGAGTCAAGTACTTCTCTTTCCTGCCCTGTAAAAACTATATTTCAGGGTAATCAGTTATTGACAGACTTGTTCTTTTTTTTTTAAGTTGTTTTTGTTTTTTTTTTTAAGTAATCTCTACATCCCATGTGGGACTCGAACTCACAACCCCAAAATCAAGAGCTGCACACTCCACTGATGGAGC